ACCTTTTAGAGACCAAGTGCCCAAACTGTAACCCCAAACCCACTTATTTATCACAAAGTGCCAGGACTGCATCAGCATTGTGGTCCTCAGGTGGGGCGGGGGGGCATGGCCCACTGGGTGGGCATGGCTGCAGTGGTCACGGCAGACTGGGTGAGCATGGCCGGGGCCAAGGCAGCAGGGGCCAGTCCCTTGCCATCTCTGGGGCATCCCTGGGGTGCCAATGCTGCTTGCTCGCTCACTTCCTGCCCTGTCACTTTCCAACGCCATGTGCTCGCTATTCTGGCGAACTCTGGTGAGGCAACGGCGTGCGTGCCCACAGAGAGAGCTCTGAGTGCTACCTCTGGCATGCATGCCATAGATTCGCCACCACTGGACTAGACATACTCAATTCCTGTAACCGTTTCTTGTATGTTTTAACTTCCAGCCCCCTAATCATTTTTGTCGCTCTTTTCTGCACTTTTTCCAGCGTCTCTACATATTTTTTTATATTGTTGTGACCAGAGCAGGATACAGTATTCCATGTGTGTCTTAATAAGGCTTTATAAATCAGTACTAGACCTTCACATGATATTGATTTGATCCCTCTATTAATACATCGTAGGATTGCATTGGCTTTTTTGTCTGCCTCCGCACATTGTTAGCTCATATTTAAATGATTATGCGCTAAGACGTCGCTCACAGTTATTGGCATTATACAGTTGTTTTTTCTTGCCTAAGTGTAAAAACCTTACTTTTATCTACGTTGAATTTCATTTTATTAAACAGGGCCCTGTGCTCAGGTCTGTCAAGATCTTTTTAGATTTTGAGCTTGTCTTCGGGAGTGTTAAGTATTCCTGCCGGCTAAGTGTCATCTACAAATTTTATGAGTTTCCCTACTATTCCCTCACCTAGATCAGGGGGCCCCAACTCCTGGTCCATGAACTGGCACCGGTCCGCAGCATGCCAGCAACCGGGCCACACAGACAAGCAAAGCCCCATCTGCAGGATGGAGGCAGTACGCAAAACCACACCTTCTCTGGTGCGTTGAAAAACCTTTCTCCACGGCACCGGTCCCTGGTGCCCAAAAGGTTGGGGACCTCTGATCTAGATGGTTTATGAAGTTGTTGAACTGTATATGTGTGTGTGCATTATTCTTGGAAACTGTCTGGAAACATCTCTTCAGTTTTGTTGGCAAGATATCGTGGTTTGTATTTGCCTCCTTCCTAGGGCTGAGAGAAACTGACTGAACCAAGGTCATCCAGCTGACTTTGTGTCTAAGGCGGGACTAAAATTCATGGTCTCCCAATTTCTAGCCTGATTTCTTAACCACCACACCAAACTGACTCTCTTGTTAGAGAGTCTAGTACAGGGGTAGGCAACCTTGGCTCTTTTATGACTTGTGGACTTCAACTCCCAGAATTCCTGAGTCAGCATGAAGTCCACAAGTCATAAAAGAGCCAAGGTTGCCTATCCCTGGTCTAGTAAATTAAATAAATTAAAAAATAAATCTTCCCACATGTAATGAAAAGCGTATTTGTATATTCCAAGCAATATTTATTATCAGCAAAGTTTAAATCCTTGATTCAATGTAGATCCAATAAATCTCTGAACTTAGTAGATATCACTCCTACTTGAGAGATTTCCCTATATTTTCCAGAACTCTGCACATTGTTTCACAACATGCAGCTTGAAAAGACACACATCAGTATAACCAGTTGTAAAGCTAACCAAGCATTTACAACTTTAAGATTACAGGTTATGACCAAGGTTACAGTATAATTGAGGGTAAATATCAGCAAATCTCTAAACAAAGCGTCTGCCTTTGTGGTTATTCTTAGATTGAAGATTTACCATATTATCTTTTATATTACTCATAATACTTATCAAATCTCAGAGAAATAAATTGAAAAAGTTAGACAATTCTCTGCTAAGTTCAGATGCAATAAAAAGTTGCTTTCTTTTATCTGATTTTAATAAAATCATAACAGAGTATAACTCTATTTCCAGAAAAAAAAATCAACTAAAATTTACTAAATCATGTGCAGCCAGTATTGAATTAAGGTGTATTTTTATTTTTTAAGGCTGTTACTTTTTGTAATGTTAATAGATATAATAGTCAGTGATTATACACATTTAATAAACTTAAACAACTTTCCATTTTCTATGGTTTCTCACTGAGTCTATGACTCTTCTTCCTACTAACTATAACCAATCCTCAACATTTTCTTTCTTCTGTTTTTATTATGGCACAGCTGGCTATGTGCCATGTGCCAGTCTTGCATGTCTATTAAATTAGTGTTCTCTAATAGCAGATGGAGTTTTGGTTGCTTCTGCATGTTCTTTACTGTAGGCTGTTGCTAGTGTGTACACTAATCAAGTTTATTGATTGTTAATTAGAGCTCAGTTAAAAATAGCTGGGCTTCAAGTAATTACTGACCTAAGAAGACATTGGAACAATATAAGCAGGCTTCCAAAACATAGAATAACCAGTGAAAGGTGAAGAGATCTACAAGAAGACCAGGGTTGATAATATGAAAAAAATAATTAAATTCATTTTAACCAAAGCTTATAACAGGGCTGAAATGTGCAATATTTCACTACTACCTTCCCAAATCAAAAATATGGCTTTAAGATGTTTCATTTAATTAAACTCATTATCAATTAAAAATTAATGTCTATAAACAAAGAGTATGACTCTAAAGCCCCAAACCAGTTATTTTGTCAAGTTTAGTAGACAACCAGAAGCTCACTTAATAAATTTCCTGGATTTGTTGGAAACCCGAACATGAATGCAAAAACACAAATATTGTCTGACTTCCAGGCATACTATTTTCAATGTGTGTTTTACATTCATGATTCACTGTTAGAATATGCGAAATTTATATATAGCATGTACATTTAAATAACTCAGAAGATGATGGGTTGAGCAGAAACAATAGAAATCAAAATAAACTGGGCTATAGAGAAGTACTGGATTGCATAAATTCATTTTCTAGTTAAAGGGGTCCTTTGATTTCAACAATATTATTCTTTTCTATGTCTACAATTTAAATGCCAAACTAGAAACAAATAACATTATAACTATGCACATGTAAATCTCAGAAATTGAAGCAAAAGAAAATCAAGGTTGTACAGTGCATATTTGTCCTATGGTCATTTTTTCTGTATTACTTTTTCACATGGGACACTCATGTTAGTAAATCATCTGGGGACAGAAATTGTGGGAGGAATATATAATACAGAACAGGCCAAAAAAAAATCACAGTTCTTCTCACTTTCTTTAATTGACTTGGATGATCAGGGAAGATTCATGCTTAAATATGTATCTTCTATCTGGTTTTGCCCTAACTCTTAGCATAGAAGAAAGGGTTGAAAAATGAAAAACTGCATGCCACCTTCATTTTATTTCTTTTAGGAATTAATTAAATAGTTATGAAAGCATTAACCTTTTATGACAGAATTTCTCAAACCACCTTTAAAAAGGAATAGTGTTAATGGATGCACTTTAATAGTTTAGGAAAAAAAATAAGTTCTGTTTTAATTAAAATGTGAGAAGATATGGTTTTCTCCAGTGGCTTCCATGATTAGTCACCAGATTAACTGAATGCCAATTATTCCAGAATTCATCGTTTTATTTTCTCTTAATAGGCAGTGTTTCCCACTTCCTTTTCTTTCAGTGGTTTTGCAGATAATCAGTTGGGCCTCCTATGAGAGATGCAAGGAGTTGCTTGTTTTTCTTTTATGGAACCAGGAAGCAAATTAGCAATGATGAAATGCAGAATGCAAATGGCAGAACTTCACTTGCTAAAAACAAAGAATGATTGCCATTGATGGAAGTTCTGTGTCCATGTTTTCTTCACTGTAACATTCTGCTAAGTTTCCCTTCTGTGTTTTTTTTTTCCTTTTGTCAGTAATGGGAAAATACCAACAGGGATGAATTATGTCACAGACTTAACTTTGCTATATATTACAAAAGACGGGAACCTGGGAGAAATTTTCTGTGACAACCCTACCTTTTTAATATTCAGAGTCTTTCACGTTAAATCAGTCTAAGATTTTGTTTTGTTTTCAAAGTATGTATTATAAACGTGTGAACAGAATGTGGGCAAAAAATTATTTTTGTTTGCAAATTTCAGACTTCACTTAAAAGTAATTTTGTGAGATTTCCTCAGAGGGTTTTTTCCCATTAACAAAAGCATATTGTGTTCTGTATTAGTATGACTTTAGACCAGGGGTGTCAAACTCGCAATTTCACGTGATGTGTCATGACGTATCGCGGCTTTTTTCCCATTGTCAGCAATGGGGTGGGCGCGGTTTTGCTATGATGCATCTGGCCCGCGGGCCAGCAGTTTGAAAACCCTGCTTTAGACTATGAGTTTGACATTATGAACTATAACTGTATAAATAGACTGTATCATTTTCTATCTCCCAGTCTTTTTTCTGAGTTATTTTATTCAGTTTTCTATCCTGGGTATGTTTTCATTGTTTTTAAAGTTGTAAATCTCTACCAGGTTTGTATTAGACAAGGATATTATAAAGTTATCAATTAATCAAAATGGGCTGCCTGTTACTGGAAAGTAATTTTAAAAATCTCTGGGGTGAGAAAACAATATCTTGCTCGTGCCTCAGATTTATTTGATTATATACTGCTTTCATACAGTACAACAGTAATTTGATCTTTGCCCTGCTGGTTAAGATAAACTAAAAGCAAAAGACTAAATGGTTTAAAAGTGGCAAATCTAGTGACCGTGTTATGAAATAGCCACTCGTAGACTTAATTAAGGTTTTGATGAGTATGCCAGCTTCCAGTCTGCATCCAGGTGCAAAACCACATGCTCTTCCCTCCCCCCCCCATGGCTGCTCCCTCCACCAATCCGCAGAGCTGGAAAGGTTGGGGACCGCTGCCTTACAATTTAAATTTTTGGTATTTTTGAGATTTACAAATTGTTCCTTTTTCAAGTTTTGTTTTGTTTTATTTTAGGAATTCTTAATATAAACTTTTTTTAATTTTTACTCATCAGGTACCACAGAGAAATGGCTATATGGATATGGATATTGAGCATTCTGAGCTACTCTTGCGTTTCTCGTGCATTAAGGTCAAAGAAATGGGATATGTACCAGAGTAAGACGGAACTTAGTCACCTAACAGTGAACCACAATACAGGGACAGTCTACTTAGGAGCAGTCAATGCCCTGCATCAACTCACAAAAGACTTGAAACCCTCAATAGATGAAGTAATCACCGGGCCACATTTGGATAACAAAAAATGCACACCTCCCATTGAAGAAAGCCAGTGCTCTGACAAACAAATGACGGACAATTACAACAAATTACTGCTGGTGGACATTCAGGAGAAAAGAATAGTAGTCTGTGGGAGTCTATTTAGGGGCATATGCTCCATAAGAGAGCTTGAAAATATATCCAACAGGACTTACTATGAGACTGGCAGCGGAGAGAAATCGTTTGTTGCAAGCAATGATGAGAATGTAGCTACGGTTGGGCTGATCACCTCTTTGAAAAAAGGCCGAATGATGTTTGTGGGGAAGGGCAATGGGGCAAATGACAACGGGGTCATAATCAGCACTCGACAGCTTTTCAATGGAGATGGGAGAGAGATTTTTGAATTGTATGCTGATCCTGCTGCTATTAAATCAGCATATCCTTACTCAAGCTCACAGCAGTTCCTCTACATCTTTGAAGACAATAAATTTGTTTATTTTATTTTCAATCAGAATGAGAGGCAGGCCACTATAAACAGGACACTTATTGGGCGCCTCTGCAAAGAAGATGAACATTATCATTCCTATTTTGAAATGGACTTGGAATGTAAAGATGACACCGGCCCTTTTAATCAAAGCAATGCAATCTATGCTTCTGTCCATGGGAAACACCCAACACATAATCTAGCATCATCAGAGCAAGCTTTTGAGGCCTCACCACAGGACAAACTGCTCATTGGCCTTTTCAGAAGAATGGAAAGGGACTCCTTGGTGTCTGCCATGTGTGTTTATAACTTGAGCAATATCAACAAAAAAATGGAAGAAAACAGGGAGAAATGTTATACAAAGGATGCACGCAATGTATTTTACAAACCATTCCGAACAGAAAATGCTCCATGCAAAAGTTCATCGCACCAGGTGAGTTGAAATAATGAAGTTGCTGTGGAAATGAGCGTTTATCTAATGTTTCCCCTTCATAACATAAAACTCCAAGACTCAAACATCATTAGTAAGCCCAAATGTATTATTTTGGTTTTTACCATTCAGAGATATTTCTACATAATATTTATAACATCTTCTTTTCTCTCAGGCAGTATTGGATCACTATTTCATATGAAACACAACTATTTCAAACAGCATTTCATTTACGTTTTTATGCTGTCCATTTAAGGGTTTCAAACAGGTACAATTCAGTCAAATCTAAGCAAGTCTATGAATATCTTTCATTAAAATAATTCCAGTTTAAAAGTGCTTCCTGTTGGCTGGATTATGCCTTCATGGTTTCTGTATCAAGGAACAGTAGTTGCTTCTGTAAATAGTTTTTTTTAATAGGAGAAAAAAGATTGATTATATTAATGGCAGTGTATCAGCAACATTAGAGCATCTGAGGAAACATTACAGGTCCTGCACGTGCGGAACAATTTTTTCTAGGTGACATACTAACATTGTTGAACATATGCAGTTTTGTAATCCATTGATCCATTCACAACTTACTTAGATGTCATAATGCGCAACTTTTCTATTTTTCTGAAACACTTAAATTTTCAGATCAATCCTAGTTTCAGGGTTAATATTTGTTTGAATTTATGATTTCCTAATTCATGTGTCCTTTCTTAGAATTCAAGTGTAACGTTTCCATGTGGCTCTGAACATTTACCGTATCCTTTGGGAAGCAAAGAAGGAATTTCTGCAGAACCTGTGTTCAAAAAGGAAGGCATAAATTTAACAGCAGTGGCCTTTGCTGTGGAGAATGGGAAGACTGTAGTATTTGTTGGAACATCAGATGGCAGAATTCTGAAGGTAATTTCTTATGAATCTTAATGCTAAAAATTAGGTGAGATAGAATACTAAAATTACGGCCATCAGAAATCAGCTATAGACATAAAGTTATTCCAAGCGATTGTTTGATTTTTAAATAAAATAAATGAAGCTAAAAACATTTGAAGGATAACTTCTGATAAAAATGACCATTTTTCACACTTAATGACCGTTGCAGCATCCCCATGATCACATGATCAAAATTCATGTGCTTGGCAACTGGTTCATATTTATGATGGTTGCTGTGTCCCTCCTGCAATCCTCTGATAAGCAAGATTAATGGGGAAGCTAGATTCACTTTACAACCATGTTACTAATTTAACTGCAGTGATTCACTTAATGATGGCAAGAAAGGTCGTAAAATGGGGCAAAGCTCACTTAACAACAGTCTTGCTTAGCAACAAAAATTTTGGGCTCAGTCGTGGTTGTAAGTCGAGGACCATCTGTACAGTGTTTAAAAGATGATGATAGTGATATATAACTCAAAAATGAGCTCCTCCCTCAATCATGACTGTGCTTAAAGTTCATAAATTCATAATTCAAGAATATAGGTAATCTGTGCATAACGATCCTAATTGGTACCAGAATTTCTGTCACAAACTGGTTGTTAGCTAACATACAATGTAATTGCATTGCCTAGCAGCAGCACTTAAGTGAGGACTTTATGCTCCTCCTCTCATGCTGCTGATATCTTCACTTCAATTTCCTGGCCAACTCCCCACCATCTCTGCCCTTTTGGCTCCCTTGCATCTGCTGATTTCTCTTATGCCTGCCACCACCCAGCATCCCTAGCTGATCTTTGGAACAGAGAAGACAGCAAAGATCACCTGGGGGTAGTGGGAGGGAAGCAGCAGCAGTGTGCAGAGTGGCTAAAAGGAAGGGAAGGAAAAAAAATGGCTGAGTGGGGGAGTTGAAATGCACGCTGCAGTCATAAATGCAAGTGGGCTGCTAGGTAACCAAATTTTGATCATGTGACTATGGAACACTGTAACTTCAAGGATCAGCCATAACTAGCCATTTGTTTAGTGCTATCATAATATCGAACAGTCACTAAATAAATGGTCATTAAGTGAAGATTACCTGTAATTGAAATATAGTTACAAACTCAGTCTTCAAAGATAACCTTCCCCAAAAGACAATGATCAATTAGTTTATTAGCTAAATATATTTGATTATGTTTTGAAGATTTTTTTTTAAAAAAACTTTTAAAATATATCTCTTGACTTTTGGCAGGAAGATTTGGGAAGGTTTTTAGAGTTGGGACAGGTATAGTAAGCTTCTAAAAAAACTTAAATTAGACATTGAGCCTTAAAAGATCCCTGAAATTAAAAAAAGGGGGGGGCATTACAACTTTTTTCAAAAAAAATTTGGAAGGCATAAAAGGGTCACATAGCAAGAAATGGGCTGGTCACATAGCAAGAAGTGATGGCAGGTGGACCAAGGCAGTCATAGAATGATCCCACTTGATAAAAAGCGTCCATGAAAGAGACCTAAAACAAGATGGACTGGTGACATCAGCAAGTATTGTGGGCCCATTTGGCAAAAGAAAGCTTAGGACCATATTGGTTGGAAACAGGCGAAAGAGGATAGACCATGCCTAAAATGATGATGATGAAAAGGGTCACAGGAAGGCTGCATTCTAGCCAGAAATTCAATGTTGTCATTTCATTTATGGATTAATGAAGTGCATATACCAAATTAGTCATGACTTTATTCAATAGACTCTGGTTAAATCAGGGCCTAATGCAGTAGTGAATGAGATCTAAATCACAGGTTTTCATTTTCTCTTCTCCCCTTAGATTCTTGACATCTGTTCAGTGGCATAGCCAATATGAGCAAACTAATTTATGTTCATTACATTTGGCCTATTAACCAGGATTAGAAATATGCTTAAATATTATTTCCATTTTAGTAGCTGTGCTTCCTGCAACAAAAACAGCCTTTTGGCATCTTAAAGACTACAACAGCTGTTATTGGGAAAGCATTTGATCATAGTGTTCAGTGATGGTCAAAAACAGCAGAAAATATCTACAGACAGTATATTTTAACGAACTGTTTTCTGGAGTGACACAGACACATTTTTACATTTATAAGTTGATTTCCATTTCAGCCTGGCAAGGAAACAATCAGTTTATCACAGTTGCTTACAAGTTTGTATTGTAATGATTAAGAAATACAGGATGGGAGGAAAGGAGCATCAGTCCAAAGTCCATATCCAATTATCAAATAAGTTTTTAACCAAATATTAATGTCCCATTATATGCATGTGTTTGAATAAATGCTTGGGACCTCAGTTAGCCTCATTTCCCTTCTATCCCTATAGTTGAATGAGAGACTTAAATAAAGTTTAATTCTATTTTCAACGTATCTTGATGTGTCTTTATATAAGAATCAGAGAAGAGATTTAATTTTAGCTGCAGATCAAGATTTCAGCAGTAGGTTTGTTTAATAAATCATGGGGTTTCCTTAAATCTATGATATTTCTTATTCAACAATCAAATTTTAAATGCAGATAAATTAATTTTTCTTTCTTTAAAAGGAGAAGATCATGATGGCTTAACATTTCAGTCAAGTTCATTTAAGATTATGCACATAAGTCTAAATCATGGTTCTAGAATTATATGCCACAAACTCTCATGTTGATAAATTTGTTTGGTTCTAACACTTTAATAGATATCTGCTATAAGTAAAATGGATCATAAATTATATTGGGAAGTTGTTTCATAATATATTGACTTGCCATTTTAAAACTTGGACCATACTTGCTTCATAATACATCACAAAAATGGCAAATCAAACTTTCAATTTGTCCTGGGAATAAAAATATTTTAAGTTACCAATACTATTTAAATAAAAACATATTTTCTTATTGCTTAAAATTATTTAATGAGGTTATTTTAACTAATAAAAGGTGTATATATAAATACATTTTAAGTGAATAACCACCATTCTAATTTCACTGAAAACAGATAAAATAACATACCTAATCTGCATTTCAGGTAGCTTTGTCAAATCCTGCAAAGGAATACGCTAGCATTCTTATTGAAAAAAATAAGCCTATAAAAAAGGATCTTCTTCTTGATAGTCTCCATGAGAACTTATATGTGATGACTACAGATAAGGTAAAAAATCTTTGGTATAATAATGAGATCATAAAAATTATGTTAAATGTGTATTTCTGCATCATAAGGCCTATCTGCAGGACTACTTAATGAGCCATTAACAAATTACTGTGATTCTAAATGAAAATCACAGCAACTGCATGTTTACTTCCTTACTGGCATGAGAAGAAGGTTCAGTTTTCTTCATTCTTGAATAATGTCAGATGTTTGGGAAAATGTATTAATAAATTTACAGTAGAGGGAATATGGCTATTATATTCAGAGAAAGAGAACTTTTTCCATATTTTGTTTCCACAACTAACATTAATAGCTCTCCTTTAATTCACATACAGAGCATCTATTTCTAACATAACATTTGGTTTGACCTTAATTCAAACCCATTATGAAAACCACTGGACCACAAGGCTCAGTTGCCAATAATTGTAGTGATTTATTGTCCAACTGTAGCTGGGAAGTACCATTAAAAGATGGTGTGCATCTTGGAGCAGAGTTAAGGTAGCAACAATAATGATGCAATATTTGGTACAAAACTTATTATTAAGATTTATCAGAATATTTGACACAACTATATAGGAAAACAGACAATACATGTAGATTTTTAAACTCCTGCTATATCATTTCTGTTAATATTGTGGAAACCATGGAGCAGCTAGAAGCTTGAATCAACTTTCTTTTGAAATTTATTCTTCTCTTAACCTATTCCCATTTTCATGTACTAATTGGAGAAAACCCACACCATCAATTCCCACAATCTCTTACGTTTTTGTTTATCATGTTATTTAACCAGATGTGGTTGCTCTCAAATGTAGTTTTCTAAATTGAAACAGCTCACACTAATTATTATTGCTGTTCACTTGCTGGCTCAGATTTTCTGCCTCCTCCTCCTCCTCCTTCCAAATTCAAAATACTGTTAAGGATAATCAGCAGAAGCTTGTTTGTGAAATAGGCATGATTGGCATAAGGTATAGTGGAAAAATCCATACTAAACTTTTTTAATCAATAAATTTATGTATAAGTTGCACTGAGTTATACATTCTTTAATGATTTGCTTCAAAAGTGCTGGGATTTTAAAATGAGTGCTTTTGTCATATGGCTTAAGAGCCATCTCTTTGATATTAAATTGCTTGAAGAAAGATATTGCAGGAACTTAATACAACTAACAGTTATGAAATATGACATTCTAATTCTTAACACACTGACTTGAAATAAATCCTATTAGACTTCCAGAGTGGTATCTTTAATAAGGGTGTATATAGACCATAATATTCATTTCTAATCATGACTGAGTGTTGGGAAAATGCTTCACTCGCCTCCCAGCCAAATTTGAAGTGAGGTTCAAAAATGTTAAGTCCTGTATCCCTCATTAATTATCATGAGAATTCCATAAACAATTGCATTTTTAAATGATTTACAAAGTGTGTTCTAAACTTTTTTTAATGAGGGCTGATGACAAAGGATCCTACGTCTCTAAGAGACTTAGTGAAAACAATTTGATTAATGAAAATTTGGAAGTAAAAAATAAAGAGGAAGAACCCCAAGCCCATTGAACTTTCACATGAACAATGACAGTTTTTTAAACTGTGAGTGACATTTTGGGGCTTGGAGGGAGGGTATGGAGAAGTACTATTAATTTCAGTTGCTCTGTGGTTGTATAAGCACCCAGTGAAAAGCTACCTGCAACATACTTGTACTGACATTTCTACGGAAAGAAGTGATCGTTTGCCTTGACGTGAAGGAGTGCCATATAATCCTGCACTCCTAGTTCCAAGAGAGTGCTTGCTCCCCCTTCCCCAAGCTCTCAATTATGCATTATAAAGGATAGAAATGTGGTACTTACTGTGCTAATATCGCAGCTCAGTGGGCAAAGGACGAGGAAGGGATGGGTGTTTATTGCTCGCTAGAAGTTGTTAAAACTAAATGGAACCCCAGGTTCAAAAGCAGTTTATCACAGAAGATCAGATTGAGTGAGAATTGTTTGAAAAGAAAAAAATTGTTTGAAAAGAAAAAAAAACTTTACATCATACAAATGTGTCAGTAAGTGGGTGTAAACCAATCCATGATTGGATTTTCATTGGATTGGATGGCTCAGAAGATTCCATTTAGATACATGATCTTCAGGCATTACAATAGTAGCTTGAACAATGTTTGTTCCTGAGTTTTTTGGTTAAATTATTCAAGGAAGATGCAGGACAAATTGTAGATAAGCTAAAAGTACAAAATGCCTTGTTGGAAGATTATTTGTGTGCAAACATAATTTTCCATGCTTTCTTTTTCAAAGTTACTGTGATTTTTTTATTTATGTTAACTGGTTTCTTTACTAGGTTTTTCGTTTGCCTGTCCAAGACTGTGCTAGTTACTCAACCTGTAACCTGTGCATCCAAGCCAGGGATCCTTACTGTGGCTGGTGTGTAACAGAAGGAAAGTAAGTGTTGTAGCAGCACCTAAGAGAGAGATATCTTAGTATGCAAGTTATTTTTTTTCACAAGATCAGGACGTTGACTAATTTCTTCAAAGCATTTGTATGAGAACAAAAAAAATCTTCATCACAAATTATCACAATATAAACATATAATGAGCAGCAGGGTGAAAACCAATTTACATTTTTCCTGTATAGTTTGAATATAATTTGCATGAAAATGGTAGTTGCCAAGCCACAGCTGGTGAACGTTTAGTATCTATCTAGTGATAGTCTTATTCTTGTGTTTTAACCCTAAATGGTCCTTAATATAGCTCCAAAAATGATGCTTATTAATCAGAAGGATTTATAATCAGAGGCAGAAGGGATAAATGCTATGCCAAATTTTGCTTTCTTTTGTCTATATTTATGTTTCTAGCTGTCTAAAGCTTTTTCTAAAAAAAAATGCTACTGAACTAGAATTTGTAATGTTCTGCATGCAATGACAAAGACTTATCCAGGATTATGTCTGGGATGTGATGGATGCCAGGTTTTCAAATCCTTTACACCTAGTAGTTCCTTAAGAGTGACAGTTTACATTACTCAAAATTAGAATTTGGTTCACCTGAAGCATAGACAGTATAAAACTGAGTTAATTGCAACAGAATTCTTCGGGGGTTTTTATTTGTCCATTCAAGCATTTATTATTTATTTATTAAATTTATATTATATACAACCTATCTTACCTAGAGGTGACTCTAGGCTGGTTACACTCAATAAAAGCAACAAGATAAAAGATTAAAACAAAATATTAATATTAAAATTACCTTAAAATTAACAAAGATGAGAAGGGAGATACAACCACCATGTTTTCAAACACGTGTTGATATGCTATAAGCCGATTGTGTGCTTTTCTTAGAAAAGTTATCCTTAGTACATTGGTTTTGATTTTATATTTATGATTTGTTAGATTTATATATCAACTGCCCACTTGAAATTCAGGACCATTTCTGTTGTTTAAATTTGTGCAGCATACAACATAAAACATAATTAAAAGGTGAACTATTTTAACTGTCTACACAATCTCTGTGATCTCAGATAGGTCTCTTCTGAGCTAATTGGAGATGCATAGGATTAAATCCTACTTCTTGAAAAACCTGTGCCATAGTACCAAAAAGCTATTTCAGAGAGAGAATCTCAACAAATCACAAACAATGAATCCCAGTAGATGTTACAAACACAAAATATAACTGGTATCATTTTTTTATATACATAGGTTGTTTAAATTTACAAATGTGAGTGGACATTTTTAGGAAAATTTTAAGCAAGATTTTACTTCCAATTTGAATAAGTTTACATTTTATATACATTACCTTTCCAATATGTGTCTTTTCCCCCTTTTATTAATATTTACAATTTAAAGGTTTTATTGCCTTTGCCTGGCTTTTTGTTGTTTTTCAAATTGTTTCATTTCTAGATTTCACAGTCAATCAGATGAACTTTCTAAGCTTTTACATTGCAATTTTGAAAGAAAAAGACTAGTTCATGTTACTATATTTTGTCGCACAGTCAGCCAGATGATTAGACTGGATTTGGCATTTTTATCCACCATAGGCAGATGTTATTATGGTTTGTCACCTAATCAGCCAGATGCAGTGGTGGGATTCAAATATGTGAACAACCAGTTCTCTGTGTGGATGCTGCTTCTGGAAGTCCATTCTGGGCCTGGGCAACAAAAAAATAGCTACCAGTTCTGCCTAACTGGTGCAAACCAGCTGAGTCCCACCACTGGTCAGATGTTCATACTGTATTTGGTATTTTTGTCTGCCTATTGAATCCTTCCCAAGGACCTGGGATAGGCAGATGTGAATGTCTGATGGTGTTACAGATATTGTCATAGGATGTAAGCTGTTCTGAGTTAGGCTGCCTTTTGCAGTTTACTGATGATGATTTTGATCAATGCCAATGGTCTTCAAATAGTGCTCCAGATGTTTTAGGAGAGCCTATTACTATTGGTACTATCTTTGCTTTATTTTAGCCCAATTGTTCTACTTCTGTTTGCAGGTCTTTGTATTTTGTGATTTTTCTACAGTTCTTACTCTTGCATTCTGCTGCCTGCAGGTACTGCCATGTCAACTATCCAGACTTTTTTTGTGTTTCTTATCCACTATTGATAAGTCTGGGGTGTTATGCAGCAGTGCTTGTCTGTTTGAATTCTAAAGTGTCAAAGCATGTTAGCTTGTTCATTTTCTAGTATTTTGTCTATTTTGTCATCTCACCAGTTCTTGCTCAGATTATTATTATTATTATTATTATTATTATTATTATTATTATTATTATTATTATTACTGATACTACCATTAATTCTGCCAGTTACTGAACAATCTATTTATCACTTGACTGAAGATTAAGCATAGTAATTAAATGATATTTCAGAAGTATGCTTAAAATTTGCTGAACCAAAATTTTTGAATGTCTCTAGGCTTATTTTTAATATGGGTCTAAACTCTGTTTCTAACTTACAAGTTAATTAACCCCATGGCAGAACCAAATGGGGTTTTGTGATATGAAATTCATAAACTTGACACAGAGTTTTGGGTTTTGGGGATCCTGCTTCTTCTCTAAATATATAGAAGATTTCAGTAAAATTTCCAAAAAGCTTATTGTAGTGCAGTACCAAGGCATACAGTCTAAAATATTTGTTCCATGCAACTCATGAAATACGAATAAGACAGTCACATTTGCTGGAAATGTAGCTTTTCTTTTGGCTTTTTGTGATGACTTTTGCTTTCATTATTTTGACATATCAAAGATCTATGCAGGAAAATATATGGCTTGATACTTATAGTAATACCAAGTCAAATCTGTGAGACACAGCAACAACCATCAAAGAAGAGAGTATCACTGGTCTTCAGGAAAGATTTAAGACAAAATTAAGAAGAAACCACATTATAAAGATCAATTAGCAACATACTTTGCTCAGGGATATTTCAAGAATATACTAGAAGTTAGAACCTTAAAGCAGAGCACAGTGAACATAAAATTTATTTCTTGTAGCATTGGATTATTTTATTTTGGTTATAATGGTATCGTTAATACACTATGTGGAAAACTTGTAGTATTCCAGTTGAACTATAACTCCCAGCACTCGCCAACATTGTCCATGTCATAATTCAAATCTTGGACTAAGACCAAGGTTCCTAGATTCAAATTCTTTTTTTAATATATATTTTATTAGTTTTTATAGGATTAGGAATAAGGTAGGGTCGGGATTGGGGTTGGGATTTGAGTTAGGGTTAGGGTTGGGGTTGAGCTTAGGGTTTTTTCAAATAACATTCTCAATATTTAGCAAACAGCATAATGTCTGGGTTCATGTGTTTAAAAAAAACAATAAGTAATAGTTAATTATCATAAACAATATGTTAATTAATCGCTCAATGGTCTTCTTGCTAATATATATTCAAAATTACCTATCACATTCCTTTCTCTCTAACTCGTTTTTCTAGCCATTGATAAAAATTATCCCACGTTCTAAAATACACTGAGTCTTCTTTCTCTTTTATCTTTAAAGTCATCCTATCCATTTCTGCACACTCTAAAATTTTCTTAATTAATTCTTCTTCAGTTGGTAAATTTTCATTTTTCCAATGTTGGGCAAATTCTTGCTGCAGTTAGTATGTGTAGAATTAAATATATGCAGTCTTTCTCATAATTTGCTCCTATTATTCCTAACAAAAATAATTCTGGCTTAAAGTCTATTTGTTTTTTAGTCATTTTCTCCAACCATAAGTGTATTTTTAACCAAAATCTTTTTGCTTTAGGGCATGTCCACCAGATATGGTAATAAGTACCAGGTCTTTGTTTGCATTTCCAACATTTGTTTGAAATATTTTTAAACATTTTTGCTAATCTCACTGGTGTCATATGCCATCTGTAAAACATTTTATATAAGTTTTCTTTATATGCGACTGCTTTAGTTAATTTAACATTTCTTTCCCATAACTTTTGCCAGTTTTCTAATTCTATATTATATCCAAAGTTCTTTGCCCATATTATCATTGTTTCTTTTACTTGTTCTTCCTCCATCTTTAGGCTTAACGGATATTTATAGAGTTTCTTAATCAACTTTTTATCTGTTTTTAACAGTATCTGGTCAAATTCTGTATGTTCTTTATAAAATCCCATTGTTTTAACATCTTTTTCATATCTTGTTTGGATTTGCAAATATGGCCACCATGATAGATCAATAACTAGTTCTTGTGAATCTTGTCTGTCTTTCAATTTTCCTTCATTGTCCAAGATACCAGATTCAAATTCTTAAAGAGTTATGAAGATCACTTGGTAAGCCTAAAGTAAAAAAAAAAAATCTCAAAGCAAAGACCTCTAATAAAGAGGAAAAAACGGATGCAACATATGCCCGACACTTGGGAAAAGCATAAAATACATATGTTAACAGTTAAATGTGAAATAAAAATAACAGAATGGAGTCATGCTTACCTTCTTAAAAATATATTGAGGAATATTGTGGCATGTTACAAATTTCTCATCCTGCTAAGATAGGAAATTTGAGCCTAGAGCCTTGCTTGTTGGGGATTTCATTTGCTAGTAGTAACAGCACTTTGGTGCAACACAGTACTGTATGTGGTAAATACTCATTGGTCTTAGGTATCAATAGTGACAATGTCCTAATTGCAAGGAGATAGCTATGGTACACTGCCAGCATTTTATTTTAGTGTCATATTTACATAATACCAGATTACATGTGTCAGATTCCTACCATTTAGCAGTATGATACAGATTATTAATTAATTAATTAATTAATTAATTCATTTTATATGTCAGCCTTACTGTGGGTACACCAGACAGGAAACACTATCAAATCAGCTAATTCTACTTCATTGTAAAGTTACATTAACAAGTCTGAAGGTACAGTTCTCCTCCTATCTTCTTTACAAAATTCGGGAGGGTCACTTCTGAGCCTCTTGCTCTATCCACTATCTAGCTGCAGACTAGTTGTCTCTTATCTCATCATTACCTGGGCAGTGTTTCTTGCCCATTCTCACGAGGCCTTTTCCACACACCATTACATTGTAGTCATCCATTATAGTCATCATATGTGACTCTGGGCAGCTCACAGACTTTAAAACAGAAAACAAAAAATAGTTGCAAATAAACAATTAAAACTGTTAAAAACCAATTAAAACAATGAAAAGAGAAGGTCCTCTGATTTCATCACTACATAAAATTGGCAGAAAATCTTGGAGAAAGCCAGTGGTCGGGTTCAAATATGTGAACAACCGGCTCTCTGCGTGGACGCCACTTCCGGAAGTCTGTTCTGGGCCTGGGTCTCCGAGGCCCAGAACGAACTTCTGGAAGTGGCATCTACACACTTCTGGCAGGCCGTTCTGGGCTTGGGGGGGC